TCGATTCCTAGACGTGACCCAGCGAAACGCCGGGACACGTATAACTTATTTTTGACCGATATAACATTTCCCGTTGGTTTCATCCCATCCCGATTTTGACTGTCGCATAGTGTAATGAATCACCAAATTTACTTTAAAGGGCGTGTGTGAATCGGTAACAAAGTTCTATGGGGAAAGCTGTTTAATAATATTTTTACTAAGGGTATTCATCAAACCTTATAAATGCATTGTAAACCGTATAAACTTATAATTGTGTAAACCTTATAAATGAACTGTCAAAATTTGTATGGAAACTCGTTTACACATTTCTGATAAATTTATCCAGCGATTTCACTGAATAAACTTGATAAACTGAAGACAATGCAACTCTGTCGCAACTCTAGCTATGTTTTCTTAGGCAATAATCGGGATCAGCATACAAATTTTGCACGCAAATATATGATCCTGATAGAGATCTGGTTCAATTATTATCCCGTCTGTTTGTTTTGTTTCACTGATAATTCGCAAAGTTTGGTAGCCGTGATAAATGAATTCATACACAAACAGACATTCTGCAATTGTTTCTTGTAACTTCCTTCAAATAAATAGCCTTTATGTTATATGTACATTTATTTAAATAGATATCTCGTAAATATAATTTTTTCCAATTTAGTGAGGTAGTTTCTATAATTTCTTTATCCCCGTGCTAGAAGTATAAAGTTAGTGACACTGCGCTTTATAACCAAAGAAAACACGACTATTGTCGAATGTGTAAACGAAAAGAGAGTGTGGGTCGTTCATGTAACAGAGTGCATAAACTTATAAGATTATCTGCTTGATAAAGTTATCGGTTTAGATGAATACCACTACTATGGTGAGACAGTTTTGCCAATCTGCTGTGTGAAATGAAATCTTTTTTGTCAGCGGTAAATTTTTGATAACCGCAGATTTATGCCGAATAAAATATTACAAATTGAAGTGAAATTAATATTATAAGAAAAAGTCTACCATCGTTGATTGCAATTCATCAATTTATGCTTTTATTTAACGAAAAATTACACACATCAACAGTCCTTGCGATTGTCAAAATTTTCTATGCATTTGTCAAAAATTTCACTAGCCTCATGAGCTACTAAAATTTTATTCGTAGTTGTCAAAAATTTACTCGCCGCGAACTTTGTTACCGATTCATACACGCTCAAATTATTTCATTTCTACTCTCTATTCCTGCTACTTCGGCATTCACTGGAAGAGTTTTTTCGGTTATGGATGTGAAATACCTTACTAACAAAATTTAATTTTTGATTTATATTAATTTTAATATTGATTGCGATAAAGTATATAATACTTTCGTGGTTAACAAGGAATTGTGAAAAACTACCAAAGGAGCAAAGAAATATATTAAGAAAAAAGATGTTTACTTAAAAAGCGTTTTTACTTGTTCTTTTAAATATACTACTATATATATTTGAAGTGTACCATATTTTTTCAGTTTTTTTTTTTTTAAGTACTATAAATATCTTACAAAATGTTCGCAAATGTTCGTGCATATGTATGTATGTATGTAGGTCATATATGTAATACTTAGTCTGTTCCTTTGAGCTTCGGACTAAAACCTGTGGAACTGTCAAACTACAATTTTACTCTCTCAAATGAGAGTAAAAGGAGAACAGATGCAGAAGTGCATAGGAACGCAAAAAGCACTATTTCCTGTAAAAACGTCAGTCGGTTTGTTTACATGTCATTTGTACAACACTGATTTAGCTGAAATATCACTAAATAATTATTAAAATCTATACATATTCAAACATTTCGTTGTTTATTTTCATTTTTTTACAAATTTAAGGCACTTTGCTTTCACCGCTGTTAGTTTTTGCTTGCACATGCAAATCAGCTGATCGTTTGACACTTTTCATGAACTTACAGGAAAAGAAACTCCGGACTAAATCCTGTAACTTCTGACTAGGAACAGTTGCTCAGTTACTCTCTCAAATGTGTTCCCACTTACAGGTTTTATGTCAATAGGAACGACTTCCTGTAAGTTCTGACTAAATCCTGTAAACCGGACTGCTATTGGAACAGACTAACTTCTATATTGGCAGTAAGCTAACTTCTCAATGTGTAAGCATTCCGAAATCAAAGCGAGACAGTCTAGTACCGTTTTTGTCAATGTGTTGTGTACTTGAGTGCCGTTTTTGTATATGTGTTGTGCACATGTTTATTTATAAACGTATGTGTTCCTTTTCTTTCGTACGTGTTTATTGATATATCTGTACTGTAGTGTTTTCGGACGGTACTAGCTCTTTCCGCCAATATAGGAGTATTACATACATATATGATGTAGGTACATATGTACATCTTTGAGGATATTTTAATACCCGCAATTTAAGAGTGTCAATATAAATATGTGTATATGAAGATAAATTTAATTTGTTTTTATCATGCCATCACTATAATTTTTGCATATGAATGTACGCATGTATTTACACCAAACCTTCACATTTTTGTTAATCAGGTTGAGGAAATTTTATAAATACATACCTAGATATTTATCTACTTACCTTTTTAGTTGATGTATGTACTTATAAGTGTGTGTCTACATATACAAAGTACGTTTTATTTTTTTAATTTGTTCTTATTCGTTTTATACATACAAATGTACATATACATAGTATATGCATAGAATGTGATATGCACATACATATACCTTTCAAAATACTTTTTTTTTTTGCAATGGGGAACATATTTCACGCTGGTATATACCCAGCAGAACCGACATAACGCATTATCCAATCCACTTACAAAATTGTAAATAAAAACCAACACATTTGCAGCTTAGCGATATTCATGTGGCATTTTTTGCATTATTTAACGCGATATTTGTAGCATAATAATATTTAATTGAAAAGAGACAACTATATATGATAACGTAATAGCGAACGTATATACATACATACATATCGCACGTTTAATAACATAGAGTTGTAATTCAAAATCTACGCTTTTGGAGATTTCTACATACAATTAATAAGCTTGATAAGTGCTCATTCAAACACGGCGATTTTTGTTGCCGCAACTCGACGTTTGTTGGAGAGAGCGTGACGAAAAAAGGAGAGAGGCACCGAGTTGCTCGTGCTCGGGCAACACGCTTTGTGCTCTCGTTCGTCTGTGTAAATTGAGTTAGCGGTTCACAGCATCAAGATTGATAGAATACAAGATTGCGCCGATCAGAGAGGATTTTTGAGAATAACTTTTGTGTGACGTCACACTGGTGCAATTGCGAGAGAGAAATGCCAAAACGTGAGCAAGAATGGAAGAAGAAGAAAAAATGTTGCAAGGAAAACGTAAACAAGTTGCACAAGTGTGACGCCATGCAAACAACGATTCTGTCAAATTTCTTAAGAGAGGAATAGCGGTCCGAGATCGGCGCAACCTTTGTATTTTCTCAATCGGGTCACAGCATGAACGAACGACACAAGATCACGTAAGCACAAGAGAGTGAAAAAAGTCGGTTTCTTGAGCGGGTTCTACGCCATCTTATTTCGCGGGAAAACGAGCTAAAAGTAAACAAAGCAAAGAAAACAAAAATTAGCCAAAATTATTGTCAGCCACTAAAATGCTTTAAAATGTGTTGTCATGTTGAATTAACTCTTCTTTAGTTAAATAAAAGTATAAATTGTGGTGCTTGTGATGTAAACAAACGCTCAGCTGACGAACCCTATTCCATGAATCTTTTTCTCAAAACAAGTTACAAATACAACGTCGCGTTCTTACGTGATATTGTATTTTTGGTTCATGGGTTCACAGCTGACAAAAACAATTGCATACAAAAAAATCGCCGTGTGTAAAAGGAACGAGCAACACCAAAAGGGAAAATGAAAAATAGCGTCGACAAAAGTTTCCGCGTATAAACACAGACTAAGGAGAATATTCTTAGTCTAACAGATGACTAAACTTCCCAAAAATGATGAAGATATGCGTCTTTCCATCTGTCTTTTGGTATACCAATTGTATGAACTAAACGAACTATGATTGCGTTTTCCCATAAAATTTAAATTTTGAAATAATTCTCTATGTTATTAAACGTACGATATGTGCATACATACATATGTAGCTACTTGAGTATTTATTCACTCAACTTTAGCTTTCGCGTTGAATAACTGGTCCAATCATCGACAGATACATTTTACCTTCGGCTAGGTCAGCATATGCACGTACATATATGTATGTATATTGCCGTATTTTTCGATCAATAGATACATTAAGGTACCATATCGTCACTAAGGAAAAGGTGCCAAGTCTATTATTTTTAAATTGTTCAGGAGAGACGAAAAACTGATGTAGTTTCGTATTACCTGCCATTCTGCATCAAAAACTAATTAAAAAAAAATGGAACTGGCACGTTTTCACCTTTATGTAGCGATATGTTTCTATGTATGCACGTATGGACATATACATACATACATACATATTTATACATATGTATGTAAGTAGTATACTTAAATTTGATTCAGTCGATATTCACTGCACAAATTCCAATAATTAGCATAACATATTTTGTGTAAGCGCCAATCTATTATTATTATTATTTGTATAACATATTTTCTTTTGGGTTTTCCCACAAAAAATCTTAATTTTCATATTCTTTGTAATTTTTCACAGTGGTTATTACCGTTTGTAGGGGTTGTTACCGTTTGTAGTGGTTATTACCGTTTGTAGTGGTTATTACCGTTTTAGCATTTAAAGTTCTTCAATTTCATACCAGCCACGCTTTCTTTCTATTCTACTTATATGGTGTGCAATGAGTTTATGTTTTGCATAAAATTGTAAATATTCCCTCTTAATTCTACCTCGGCCGATACGTTGTGACCGCTTGCTAGTTGATTCGGTAATACCGACGACGCCAACGATATGTTACTGCTGTTCTATGCGACTTTGTTCTGTGCTTAACTGGCAAGCGTTTCGTTGCTGCCATTACCGCTGTCGCTGCCGCTGCCAACATCGCCGTCGCTGCTAATGCCCGTCGCGGCAGAGTCTACGTAGTAGCCGCTAAGGCATAAGTATTGGTGAAAGCGTAATGACATGCCGGTTGCGAGGGCCATGGTGTCCAAAATCGATTGTGTTATCTGTATATTGTTTATAAGAACGTGTATACCTACATACATACATACATACATATGTATTAAAAGAAAGAAATGGATATAAGAAAGCTGTTTCCTGCACAAAGCCCAACGCGATGCATTAACTATATACATATGTATGTAGGTACATACATATGTATTTAAAGGCAAATGCACGTAGGTTTGTGTATACATACATACATACATATGTATATAAAAAACGCTCACGATTGAGAGAATACAAAGGTTGCGCCGATCTCGGACCGCTATTCCCCTCTTAACGAATTTGACGGAATAGTTGTTTGCATGACGTCACACTGGTGCAACTTGTTTACGTTTTCCTTGCAACATTTTTTCTTCTTCTTCCATTCTTGCTCACGTTTTGGCATTTCTCTCTCGCAATTGCACCAGTGTGACGTCCACAAAAGTTATTCTCAAAAATCCTCTCTGATCGGCGCAATCTTGTATTCTATCATTCTTGAAAAACGCTTATAAGAAAAAATACTTAAAAGAAATGATTTTCTAGAACCAATGTAACCGATTACATAATTAAACAAACGTGTATAACAAAGTTCTTCTTAAAGTGCGTATGCAATATTTTTATACATATATAAGTTTTTATAATTTTTTTTTTATTTATTGATTTGTCCTAACACAACAACAGTGTTGCCACTTTGTGAGTAATTCCTCAAAACGTGAGGAATTTCGGGCGCGCTTGAGTATTTTTTGAGAATTTTTATTTTGAGGAGTTTTTGAGGAATTTTCTCTCGATATATTTGCAGATAACAAATGCAACCATGTTTTACATAACAGAGTTGTTAAATCGCTTTGCAAATTTTTGAACAAAAAGTTTTTGTTTATAAAGAGCGAAATACAACACACAAGTGGCTTGTCAAACCTACTTTTCCCATTTCACCACACACCATGCAAACATGACTCGTTAAAGCAAAGAATTTTAGTTTTCTTCCGGTTCATAATGTAAAAGAGTTTGGGTTTCTTCGATTTTTCTCTCTTGCGTCCTCATTCGGTAAAAATTCCGTTGCGAATTAGGCGATTTTATCATGCACAAAGTTAGCGTTTTGATTAAACGTCAATATCACGGCCAGAAATTCAAAAAATTTTGATTTTTGTTCACATTTCCCTCAAACGGCTAGTCAAACCTTCAAACACCCCCGTGCGCAACATAAATAGCTTTAAGCAAAGGGATACTTCGCTTGGTTTGTCATGCCGCACATCTGAATTGCTGCTAAATATTCAAAATGTTATCGACAATTTTTTCATTCCATCGTTATATTTTCATTTTATTTTGAAGTTACAAAATCTCGGTAACGAATGGAGAGAACACGCATTGTTCGATCATAAGGATATTTATATTGATTCTTCATTAGATCCAGAAAACTATAGAAAAACAGTTTTTGAATTAAAAGATTCTTCAGATTCATATAAGTTTCCCAATTAAAAAAATTATATCTGCATTACTAATATAGCCCTTTTCTAATGCTTCAGTAGAGCGTATATCTAGTAGATTAAAAATGTGTAGGACTGACTTGAAGACCAGATTCAGCACTGATATAGTTGCAGCAATATTATATAGAAACCAAAGCATAAAAAATAACGGTGATACTTTGTTTGATCCGAACAAATGTACCAATTGAATTGGAGAATGTAACTAATTTTTATACTAAGTACTTGTATATAGTATGCAGTACATAACACTCATATCTGTAATAAGAAAAGGATTTTGAGGCTTTTTCATTTGTTTTTGAGGAATTTGGTAATTTTTTTGTGGCAACACTGCACAACAATTAAGGAAACTATTTTATAGTGTTAGTCTTATTGAGATAACATTGAATTAATAGATATTTAATACGTATAAAAATTTTAAGTTTTGTATTACTTTCATATTACGATAAATCTATTATAACAACGG